GGGGGCTGGAAGTAGGGACAGGGCCCAGGACTGAGCTGAGGAACTGGGTGTGTGGGGCCCAGGGCAGAGCTGGGAGGCTGTAAGTGTGGGGGCCCCAGGGCTGAGTTGGGGGGCTAGGTTAAGTGGGGTCTAGGGCTGAACTGGGTAGCTGGGTAAGTGGGGCCCAGGGCAGAGCTGGGAGGCTGTAAGTGTGGGGGACCCAGGGCTGCGATGGGGTATGTGTGTGAAGGAGGGGCCAAGAACTAAGAATGGAACTTTTCCTCCATCCAGGGTTGAGGAGGGCCAGGGGTATGGAGAGGACAAGTAAGGGGCCCTCAGGCTTTGCACACGCTCACACATACCCATGTGCTCACACATACGTAAGTCCACACACCTCTCCAGTGACTGCTCACTTTAAGTCCGGAGGCTGACCTACACTGTTCCTGCTTGTCTTCAGTGCAGGGTCCCCCACTTTCTCCCATTCCAGGGGTGGCCAGGCTATGGCAGTTCCCATGGGGTCCAGGAGATGGCGGCAGCACCTTGGCCAGGTCAGTTGCCTCCCCTCCCCTCCAGTCACTAGACCAGGGGTCCTCAAACTTTTTAAACAGGGGGCCAGTTCACTGTCCCTCAGACCGTTGGAGGGCCGGACTATAGTTAAAAAAAAAAACTATGAACAAATTCCTATGCACACTGCACATATCTTATTTTGAAGTAAAAAAACAAAACGGGAACAAATACAATATTTGTATTTGCATGTGGCCCGCGGGCCGTAGTTTGAGGACCCCTGCACTAGACTCTTCAAACAGCAGTCACCAATGGCAGATGGTGTGTTGGGGTGGGAATAGCATCGCTTTCACAGAAGAACAAGCCAGAGCATGCAGACCCCACAGCACTTTCAGGGTCCTGGGGACGCACCCCACAGGAATCGCCACGTACAGCATCCATAACCATGTACGCACAAACCACTTACCATGACTGCCTGGTTGCACACATTGAGCTGGGGCTGTCCAGGGACCAAGGCCTCCTGGTGCTGCTGAACAACTGGGGTGATCCTGTCAAGGACGTTCAGGTACTCGGTGCTGGCAAAGCTAGAGATGAGAGAGCATCAGGTCACTGAGGTGGGGAGGACACCCAGGTAGGCCACCAGGAAGGCTGGGAAGAGGCCTGGCTGGCCCTGCTGCAACTGCCACTGTCTACGGGCCCATCTGACATTGTCACCCCAGGTCAGCCCGCTCCTCAGGCCTCCACCCCAGTCCAACGCTTCCTGCTCTGTTGGCTGCACCCCCTTTACACACAGCCCCCAAGCTATTTGAAACAGGTCTCAGGCGTGTTTCATGTCTTTCCAGGACTCTGGACAAATGCTGCAAAGGGTGGGCTTAACCAAGTTCAGCAGTTTTTGGACAAGGCTTCTCGAAACACAGTGAGAGAGAGCACAGGCGGGAAGCTCCAGGCGGCCCTGCACTCCGCCCTAACAGTTCTGTCCAGGCAGTGGCTTCAGGGTCTTCTTGCCCAGACTTGTGCCCCAAATGACCCCGGGCAAGTCATGTCCCAACCCAGGTCCCAGCCTCCTCTTTTGGAGCCCAGGCATGGGGTGCTGTAGGGCTGTGAGTTAGGGGTGTGGCTGGGTGTCCAGGGGTCCCTCCAATTGGGGCAATAACCCCGAACACTGCAGCACCCCGAATAATGACAGCGTGGATCTAAGGGGTCACTCTCGGTGGGTGTACCCACATATCTTTGCTCTGAGCAGCAGGCCCCATCGCCTCAAATTCTGGGGAATGCTGGGGTGGGGAAGTGGTGCCATCTGGCCACACTCAACCAGTGGAGGCAGGGGCAGGATATGTACCAAGTTTCCTCCACCTCAGCCGGCTCACTGCGTCAATCTTTTTGTGGACATTTGAGTCTGAGAAGCCACATCATGCGTGTTGCCATGGGTAGGGCATCATCAGAGGCTCAGCTGCCATCTCTGTCCATATGACTCACCTCGAGGGCACCTGAGCCGTGGAGGAATCAGCAAGACGGGCTAAAGGCATGGGGGCTGCAGGGCAGGCCTGTGTGCCCTAACCAGACTGCCTATAAAAAAGCCCTGCTGGACATAATTTGGGGGACACTATTTCATCCATTGCATTGGCTCTCCGTGTGCCCACGGTCCCTGGCTCCAGTCAAGCGAGGGGCTGCTGAGGAAGCCCCCAAGGTTCCCCAGTGGCATGGAGAGCCCCCATCTGACCCTTACTGGGAGGAGCTCAGTCACGCCCAGCAGGCAGCTGCCTGGTTAAGGCTGGTGGTGCTGCTCATCATGAAAGACAGTGGCCATTTGGAGAGGTTCCTGTCCACCCCACGCCTGGACTGTCACCCTCCACAGAGGCCACCTCCGATGGCAGCCTGGAGCAGAGGTCATGTCTTGCTGGGCCACACGGAGACAAATGGGGGAGATGGGAGCCCCTGGAGAGGAAAGGCGATGACACACACGCCCACGTGGGGAAACTGCAGTCCAGGTCCCAGAGCTCCAGGCGGAGGGAGGCCCCACGCTTCCCTTCCTGTGTTTATGCTTCTCCACCTGCCCACAGTGTGCATGTCCCTTCTGGAAAACGCAGCACATTGGCATGTGCTTGACCTGGCTAATGTTTCCTTGGCAGCTTCTACGCCTCCTTGTGCCCGCTCACCTGAGGGGATACCTCTCTCCTGGGTCTCGTCCCAGGTGGAAGATGAGGGGCAGCTTCGTGTGCTCCTCCTGCGTGTGAGTGGTGACTCCTGAGACATTCTGTCCGGGGCAGAAATCAATGCCCTGAAACAAGAGGCAGGTAAAACAGGTGAGCGCTGTCTGTGTGGAAGCTCCTGCCGCAGGCTGGCCAGTCCACCTTGAACGAGTCTGAGTGGTCAAGGCCGGAGCAGGCCAGGAAGTGGGGTCCTATAGGGTGGAGCCTTCCCACCACCTTCGCCCCAGAGATGCTGAGCAGTTATGCCCTGTGTACCATCCCCTACTTTTTTGGAACCCCCTTTTTTTGGGGTGGGGGAAGTGAATTTCTTTAAATTTTAGCTCACATCCTGACTGCCTCTATTTTCTAGAGAAGCTATTTTCAACCTTTTGCAATTCATGGCACATATAAACTAATTGTACTAAAATTCCGAGGCACAACAAAAAATATATTTTTTGCTAATCTGACAAAAAAAATGGGTATAATTTTGATTCATTCACACCGGATGGCTATTGTTGTGTTGGCTGTTTTCATTTTTATTTGACAATCTTAGGGAAAAGAGGTCAGTGCCTCTGATTAAATAGTCAGGTTTTGCATGTTTTAAAACTTGCAGCACACCGGGTGAAAGTCGCTGCTCTAAAGCAAAGCTTTTCACCACTTCATCTGCCTCATGGCTCAGCATTCACCAGCGAGGAGGGACTGCAGGCCTGAAAGCTAGAGATGTTCAGAGCCAGGAATGGCCCACAGGTGACCCAGATGCCCCTTAACTGGTAGGGTCCCTAAAATGACAACAGTTACTATGTTCAAGAAAGCAGGAAAAGAGGATAGAGATCACACCAGGCTCCCCAAGGGCTCAGGTGTGGCACCACTGCTCCACATGCAAGGCCCCCTCCTGGCTTCGTCATGGTACAGCCTCTGATGAGCATCTGGAATGGGCTTCCTCTGCCAGTACATGGCCTGAGCTTTGCCCAGGTCCTGGGGCAGCCCTGAGGCCTCAAGGTGGCCTTGGGCCAGGGGCTCCCTTGAGTCTGTGGCCTATGTTTGGAGCTCTGTCCCCAAGGCCTAAAGGTTGCCCCTGGGACTCTCTAACTTGGGAAGAGGAGAACCCCTGCCATCCAGGGAGAAGTGGGTGAGGCCAAGGGCCCAGTCCTGAGGTACTGGTGACCCCTGGGCCCTGCAAGATGTGGCACCAGTCTCCAGCCAACACAGGGCATGTTGACAGGTCTGGAGAGGTGGCCATGACCCAGGTATGGT